GAGAATTACAAATGAAATCATGGAGGGAACGTTTCCTAGTGTACACCCTGGGAATTCTAAGACAGGAGTAAATAAAATGGAAAAAAATATGTGTCTTTAGAAGGAGGAATTAAAACCAGAAAGTACAATGGAGAGAATCTGGACAGAAAACAGGAAAATAATATCAATTATTTTTATCTCCTAAATATTTATTGGAATGATCTCAAAAAAAAAAAAGAATGATCTCGGACCTCTACATGTATTAATTTTGTAACTCATCAAATTAATCAGTTGTAAGACAGTGAGCAAGTTAATCTCTCAGACTCTCAGTTGCCTTGTATATAAAGATTAGGCCAAATTTTTTGTTATATTTTTCATCCTACTCAATGTGTGAACTTCTTTGAAAACATCCCAGCAAGTAGTTATTCAACTTCAGCTTGAATGAAAAAGGTTAAGGGGCTCAGTACCTTCTCAGAGAGCCAGTTTAAATTTTAGATTGCTCTTCGTCAAAAGTTTTTCCATAAATTGATTTAAGATTTTACTAGGTAACTTCCAGCTAATTTTAAATTTTTACAACCAAAATTACTATGCGAAATCTTTTCCTCTACATAATACAATGACAAATAGCAACTCCCCCCCATCACTTTTATCATAGCATAAATTAGTGGTAAAACAGGATCATGAAAATTGGCTTCTAGTCTGAATTCTATTTAACATTGACAAGGCATTCATCATACCTGGATCCTAATTTCTTCACTTATAAAATGAAGGGCTTAGATTTTGTTAAAGGTCTCTAATACTGACCACTCGTTCCTGACTACCTATCAGTCCTTAACTCCAGGGATGTCACTTTGTTTACCTTACTTTCTCGAATGGCATGCTGGAGACTTCCTTAATGAATAAAAAGAATAACCTTTCCATTTTCTTGTTTCTCTTAATTCTTCTAATTGTTATGGATATATTTCTTTAGAGTTCATGAACTGAAATCTTCTTAGTGAGATGACAAATAACCTTAATAAGTTGGAATTTATAGTTCTTTCCTACAAGAAGGAGATCTAATACTAGGCTCTCAAGGATTAGAAAGAACCAAATCGATTTACCTTCTCACTAATGAAGAACCATAACAGAGCCCTTTGGCACCTAGTGTTTTGCTTTCCAGCTTCTGCTCAAACTTTTCTAGTGAAAGGTGCTTAGGATTTTCTGGACTTAGGTTGTTCTATTGAAGGAGGGCACACTATCTGGCCTATGGGAGGTATGCAAATGTTGTTCCAAAATCTGTTTCCCTGTGCCACCCATCGGTTCTGGTTCAGCCTACTTTAGCAGAGCTGCTTAGATAGACCCCTTGATACTGAGTAGCCCTGCAACCACTCAAATACAATTATCCTAGCTAATCTCCTCTCCCATCCCTCCCTAATACTTGGCCTCTCTAAGCTAAAAAGCTCACACTCCTTTGTGTTTTCCACACCTTTTACTACCCAGGTTCTTGTAGACTATATGAATTTTAGCTTGTCAACAGCCATCACATTTAAAATGTGATGCCAAGAACATGACATAAATGTAAAATATTTCCTTTGCTCGTTATCTCCACACACGTATTGAGCCCAACTCAAGAAGACCAGGGAGTCACTGCTTCAACTAAATGTGTTTATTGCACAATTCTCTTAGCACCAAAAAGCATTCTTGCTTGCTCTGTGCCTTCACATATCTTTATCTCTAGTTACCAAACACATGGATATGAGCCAATCCTCTACCTTTTGAAGTGGTGCCATGGATTCCAATTAATTATTTCTTAGTGCTACTATCTGCTAATATTGGGGAGAATGGGATGTTGTCCATTTCTTATGTTCTTAGGTCATGTGAGCAGAAATAATATCAAGAGTCCCTCTCTGAGAGGCTGTGAAATGAAGTCCATTGCAAACAGAATTAAGAACAAATCTGGAAGAAATTATTTACTACATTTGGGATTACATGTAAGATGATGTGCCCACCTTGGCTATTTTCAGATGTTTTTGCCTCTTGAGAATCAGGCTAGGTCTTTAATATATCATAGTGAATGTGGCTTCGTCAGATCTTTACCACCAAGTCAAGCTGAACTGAGGCAAAAGCCTAGGTAATTCAGATAAAATACCTCTTCAGCCTATGGAGGCTTTGATCGGTATTGAAGGCCAAAAACAAACACTGCCATCATGTTACATTAAATTGAAACTAAATTGTGTCTATCCTCTACTATCATCACTAACCCGCTGAGCATTAAAAAAAAGAAAAAAAGAAAAAGAAAGAAAGGAATGGAAAGGAAAACCAGGAGAAGTTTGCTATTGAATTGTTTGCCATCAATTTCAGGGAATACGGTCTGATGAGAAAATCGTGCCACAGTGAGTGTGGCTGGCACTGCAGGTGTGAGCTCTTCCCTTCCCACTTACTCTGGCCAGGAACAGTCACAGAGGGCAGAACAAGAATCTTTCCACGTTTCACACTCATGAATCAAAGACACAGCCATTCCCTGGGCTCCAGGATTCATTCTGCCTCCCATCAGGCAGAGCTGTGCCCACACTACCAATGTTACCTATTTCCTTGCCTTTTCAAAAGATCATGAAATGTGCCTAATCTCTGCTCTCAGAGCCAAAACTAAAACCTGGAATCTTCTTGTGAAGACAGGAAAAAGATCTCAATGTCTGGAGCTTTGGGGCTTGTGTTAAGCATCTAATTTAAATATTTTTAAATGTCCTCCAAAAACGCATTACTACTCAGTTTAAAGATTCTCCCCCAAATCCCTTTAAGTAGCTCTTCTTCCTAGTATTAGAAGAATCTGAGATTCCCCCCTTTGTGTAGTAGTATCTACTTTCCCTTCCAATAGTCACAAATCACTTTTTCCTCCCATAACCAAGTCTTTTGTCTTATTTTAAAGCACTTGCCAAAAACTCCTACCTTAAAAAGGTATTGTCATTATCTGAACAGGGAGACAGGAGAAATCTCTCCTCTCCAAAACCTAAATCAATGGGAGAGGTGTTCATACAAAGTGATAGGGGCAAAATGCCAACCAGTGCATTGTTGCAAGAAAACAGTGTATTGGACAAAGAAATGAACAAGGAGTCAAAAGAGATTGGGCGGGGGGTTCCTGCTTTGGCTGTTAGCTAGTACTAATTTCATAGGTGGATCCTTCAGTCTTGCCAAACCTCGATTTCCTTAACTATAAAAGGAAAAAATAATCTTTGTTGTCTAGGACTCACAAAATCTTGATTGATAACGAGCACTTTGGAAAATCCAAACAGGCTGTACAATGCTTATGTTTTTAAAGCAATAACTTGATCTCCTAAATGATGCGGACTGGATAGGGGTCTCACCCTGACACTTATCCTTGCCTAAGTTAATGTTTCCTAGAACACACCTGTAGAAAAGAGAGAAAAAAAAAAGAATTCCTACAGCTACATTCATAGAATTTAGAGGGATATTTAGGATTCTCTTTTAGAAAAACAAGGAAACAAAAAGATTAAATGTAACCCAAGCTCACACGGCCATCGTCTCTATAATTATTATTCATCCTTGGAACCCAAGGGTCAGGACTCCACTTAGCCACACACTCTTTGCCAGCCTTCCTGGGCTCACTTACCTAAATACACAACCAGAACCAAAGGAAGATCGGAAGCTGAGGTCGCCTCTGGCACGGCCGCTAGCTCTGATAAGTGTCCTGGGTGCGCAGCGTCATCACACAATTTATTAGCATAATTTCAAACTCTAGATATCAAGGGATCTCTGTCCCTTTGGTATTTAAAAGTAAAAAAAAAAATACCATTTGGATGACCTTCCCCACACAGCTGGAACCCAAGACTATTAAACAATTAAAAACAGAAAAACCGGGGTGGGAGTGAGGGGATCTGTCAACGAAAGGTTATTAGCCCTGCTCACTCCTTTCGGGAACAGGGCGCTGCCTGGGCGCAGGGGAGGGGGACGCGCAGGAGGACGCGTTAACAAACGATGCCCCGGAAACTCGGTTCGTTCCCAGTTTTGCGCCGCGAGCCCTTTTATTCTAGAGAGACTGCAAGCCCCGGGGAGAGCGCCGGAGACCTCCTAGGGGAAAGGGAGGGGGGCGGCGCGCTGGGCCAGACTCTGCCCTCCTCGAGAGGCCACGCACAGGTGCACATCCGAAGGGGCTGCGTAGTTAGCTGGCATCTCGCTACAGCTCCGCATCCCCTAAAACGCGGTGAAAATTAGCATTTCCGCACGCAGCCCGAGGAACGCTGGTTTTTAAAACCTCGGCAGCGCACGCGGCGTGTAAGAAGACTTGCGGGGCAGGTGCAGCGCGGTCGGGAGGCCGGGGTTGCTAGCGAGCTTTTCCCGCCCGCGTTGCTGGCCGCGCGTGGGCGCCGCTCGGTCGGGAGCCGGGGTGGGGGGTGCGTGCGGGGTGGACGTGCCGGGGAGCCGAACCGCAGGCTCAGGAGGGGACCGGTGACCCGAGCGGATGGAAGCAGATGGAAACGCCGCCCTCCTGAAGAGGGCCTGTGGCCCGAGGCTTTGAGCTGGAGATGGGAGCGGGGGGACCCCAGCGGGAGGGCAGCGGCCGGGAGCGCGCAGGACCGTCCTGCACAAACATCCTAAGCATCTGGCTGAGGCTCCACCTGGACGCCCGCCGAGCGAAGGCACGGGCTCCGGGTCCCTTACCTGCAGCCAATCGGTCTACGCAAGGAAGGGCAAAGGGTCCGGGCGGCGAGGTCGCGGAGCCTGGACGGCGGAGCGGGGGCAGGTGGCGGAGGAGAGGGCCGAGAGGGTCTGCGAGCGCGGCGGACTTGGGGAGCCGAGAGCCCGGGGTCCAGCTGGCGCCACGTACGACGCGGAGCGCGGGAACGAGCCGGCGCAGGTGCACGCGGGGCCGCGGGGCGGGGGGCGGGTTCGAGGGTTGACAGGTGTGTTTTGTTGGTGTCCCAGGAGCGGAGCTCCGAGGCCCGCCCGGCCCGAGGCCCGCGTCCCGGAGCCCGAGGGATGCGCGCCCCGCCCCGCCGCGTCCTCCCGGGCCCCCGCCCCGCGGCTCAGAGCACGTGCGGCCCGGGGCCCAGCTCCCCCTCGTCCCCAATGTCCACCTCGTCCTCCGGCTCGGTCAGCACGAAGGGGCCGGCGGGCAGGCCCAGCCGGGCCTCGGCAGAGGCGGCCTCTGGGCCGCGGGGGCTGCCCTCGGGGCTCTCGGGCCCGTCTGGCGCTTTGGGCTCATCCTGACTTTTCCTCAGCTGCTTTTTATGCTTCATCCGCCGGTTCTGGAACCACGTTTTCACCTGATTTCAGGGAGAAAAAAATAAATAAATACAACCGTGTCATCCTTCAGATCCATAGTTGCCAAGATCTGAGAGATGGCTGGCGTTAGGAAAACGGGCCGCAACCCATTCACGAATTATCCAAGAGCTATGACAGTCTCATCCTCGGTGAAATCAGCCCTCCACCGCTCGCAAGGGATCGTGTTAGGTTGAACGAGAATCAGGCATCCTAAAGCTCCTGGAAGCAACTGTCCAACATACGATAAAGGCCAAAATGGTGTGCTTTGTGAACACTAATATTGCTGTTAATTATAATTACTAATGGTAGGTGCGACTGGACGAGTGGCCTTTATGTTTAACTTACATTCTCCCCATTGGGGCCTCTGAGCACCGGATCCAGCAGGAGGATGAGAATCAACCTTGCTGGTTCTCATCAAAGAGAAAAGTCACGGGCACCAGGCTGATGATTTCACAGCAATCTGGGCTCCCGGGTACAGAGAATATAAGAGAGAGGAAGCGGAGGGAGTTTTAAGGTTGCAGGTGAATAGCATCTGGAAGATGGAAACAGTCCTCCTCCCGCTCAGGACAGGGCAGTAAGGAGGAGGCCTACATTACAGTGGGGGAGTGGGGAGGCTGGATCTGAGGGCTTACAGCTGTGAGAGACAATCAAATAATAATAATTAATAATAATAATAATAATAAAATGCTTCCCTGCGCGGGCCTCTCTCAGGACAAGAACCGGTCTAGTCTCTTTATTTTCCGGCCGCCCAGGCTTACAGCCCCGATCGATCCGATCGATGGATCGATAGATCGGAGGAGACGAGTGGGGGGCGACAACGGATGGTTCTCAAACTAGGAGTGATCCTCAGGGTCACCGAAGCACTTTCTCCTCCCGGCCCCGAGCTCCGGCAAGAGATGATGCTTCGGAAAGTCTGACCTGAGGATGGAGGTGTCGGTACTTTTCCTAAGGATCTTTGGAGAAGCCTGGAATAAAGGGGAGAGGGGTCGCCCCCACTCGAGAGCTCCAGCTCCGCACCGGGCGCGGAGGTGGAAGGGGCCCGAGGAAAGAGAAGCGGGGCCCAGGAACTGCCGCGTCTCGGGCCCACCTGCGTCTCGGACAGGCTGAGCGCGGTGGCCAGCTCCACCCGCTCCGGCGTGGACAGGTAGCGCTGGATCTCGAATCTCTTCTCCAGGCCCGAGAGCTGCGAGTCCGAGAACACCGTGCGAGCTTTGCGGCGGCGGCAGTGCTTGCCCGGCAGCTCGCTGTGCTGGGGGTGCGGGAAGAGCGCGGGCACCGGCATCCCTGCGGAGAGAAAGGCGGCCCGGGGGTAGAGCCGGCTCCCCGCGCGCCCCGGTCCCGCGCGCCTCCCTCGGCTTCTTGCCTCCGCCGGTCCCCTCGTCGCCCCCACGGCTTCTCCAGCCCCTTCTCCCAGGAACCGCAGGGCGGGGGGAATTTTAAAATCGCAAGAATAGCGCTTGGGGATCTTTATCCGGCGGCTCATCTAAGACGTACAAACAGTAAGTGGAATGGAAAAGAACATTTCAAAATCGGAGGCCTTAAAAAAAATGTGCTCTTGGAAAGACTGCCGGCGTCCACCAGCCAGCAGTCAGTCCTCTGGTGCGCCTGCCCAAGTTTTCTTGCAAACGTTGGCTGGTCCACGAGCTGCTCCGCCCAGCCACCTCTCCTCCATACCCCCGACGACACTCCGTCTAGTTCTGCGGCTAGTACAACCAGGAAGGTGGCCTTGCCTCCCAGCCTCCCAAAAAAACACCTTTTTTTTTCTCTCTCTCTCTCTCGAGTTGCCCCCCAACCTCCCGCCTGCTGCCAAAGGGAACAGATCAAAACTCTCTCCTCCGCAGCAAGAACTGAGAGGCAATTCCCGCCTGGCACGTTCCTTACTGGTTGTGGGGTCCTGCTGGGGACCCCGATCTCTAATCGAGTCCTCATTTTTTCTTATTCTTTCTCTCCTACTCTTAAGAGAAGGATGGAAGCGCTTTTCCCCCTGACCAGGTCAGGGGAGACCTCTCTTGTCCTTCCTGACCTCCGCGTTTATTATGGTGTCTGAGACACACCAAGTAAACCGCTACAGACATCAATTTCTCCCAATACCCCTGCGGAAAGGAAACGAGCAATTGTGGCATCAAGGGCTTTGGCCACTGCTATGGGGGGGGGGGGGACATGGGTGCAGCCCAGAAGGGACTGTCCTGAGTCAGGTAGTGAGGAGGCCAACACCAAGATGCAGGCTTCAACGTAGCTTGTACAATTGCCCTGCCAACCTAGTGCCTCAGAATCTGGGTTTTACAGCTTCATAGAAACTTTTAGCTTTTGCCATAGATTCCAGAGCACACATTTCACAAACTATCTCATGTGTTTCCATGGCTTTCGCCTGGAGGGGGTTGTTTTCCTGCCTGAGCTCTGCATTTGGACTCAATGAATTATTATATTTCAACTGGAATGAAAATGCCAAAGAGGGAAGCTACGAGTGTGGCCTTTCAGAGAGCGGCAGGAAAAGTCTGGGTATTTCCTCACATCTCCCAGTCCCAGCCACCTTACTGGCCCCCGGGTTTTGTCATCCATGGAAAATCAAAATGCTATGGTGTGGGGCTCCTGCTCCAGCAGCAATCAGGGCAGAGGAGGGCAGCCGAGCCCAAGATTATGAGTTAGATGTTGAGAGTGCAGAGGGTTAAAGTGGAGCAGCGTCTTTCCCTCTCCCCCTCCACCCCCCACACACTTTTTTTTTTCTTACATTTTCTTCCCTATTCTGGCCAGGTCAAACCTTCAGTCCTGAGAATATCCCAAACCCTCATTCACTTCTAAGCCCCTGCACCACATCCATGAAAGCTCTACGCAGAGGTGAAGAGAGCTGGCCCTGCTGGAGCCTTTGGAGCTAATTAGCTGGAAAGTGGAGTTCTGCTCCACAGGGTGGGGTGGTCAGGGGTCTCCCTCAGAGCGAGGACAGAGAATCAGATTTGAGAGCCGGACCAAAGTGGCCAGGAGGACCAGGAGGAAGGAGACTGAGCACTATCCACCAAGAATGTTGTCAAAACCTCTAGCCACCTTTTGGACAGGAATGTTTCCTCCATTATAAAGCATGTGGAGGGACCATGACTTATCCCCCATGGGTTGGCATGCCTCCGGGGAGCTCTGCATGTCCTCAGCCTTATCCCCAATGTTCCACTGTGACTTAGGGAAGGAAGGCACCAAGCCAGGCCGAATCAGCTCTGGCCTTTCCTCAGCTCCATCACAGGCATACGTCTATGCTGGGAGACCTGCTCTCACTCCCCAAACCTTGAGGCCCCTGTACTTACCCGAGGTGGTGAGGAAATAAGGGTGGTGGTGGTCTCCCTTATGCAGAGGGTGATGAGGATGAGGAGCCAGGAGGGTGGGTGTGGGCATGAGGGGGTAGCCATAGTCTAGCAGAGGCACCCGGGAGGCCAGAGAGCTGGCGAAGTGGTCAGGGGCCATCTCCCTTAGTGGCTTGGGCTTGTGCAGCAGGATGTCCTCAATGAAGAAGGACGTGGGCCTCTGAGAAGACGCCGGGTGTAGCGGGGAGGTGAAGTTGAGATTCATCTTGAGCCAAGCGTCTGCCACAGGGCGAGAGCCGGGGACGAAGCGTAGGAAGCAGGCAGCGTCTCACCAAGCCTGGTGGAGAGCGGACGACCCTCTGAGGCTCGGAAACCCCGAGGCTCCCTCCCCGGCCTGGGCTACCCCGGGCGCTGGAGAGGCGAGAAGACGAGCTCCTGGGTAGGTTGGGTCTATGTGTAGAATTGGCAGCTTCAAGAGGGGAGCTGGGAGAGCCAATGGCAAGGCTGCCAGCGGCGAAGGGGAGGGTGCGGTGGGCTCGGGGCGGGGCGGGGCGCTGTCCGCGGTGCTGAATACGACCGGCCGGGCCCGGGGAGAGCGCAGCGGACCCGCGTCCCTGCTCCTGCCAGGTTGGTTTTTCGACCTCAATTTGAGTTGCTTCTGCTTCTTCTTCTTCTGTCAGGCATTTTAAAAGAAAGCTAAAAAGAAAACGTCTCTGTCATTCGACAGACTCTTCTTTAAGAGAGCAAAAAGCATTTAAAGGGCCCCAAAGCAACAGGGATAAGGCACTTACTTTGGCATTTAGGCCTGGGTTTTCCAAGTTTAGAGACACGGTAGCGGGATGGAGAAGGGGAGAAGTGAAGAGAAAATCTATATCTGCTACACCCAACTTCAGCTGCTGGCTGAGGCACGGAAGAACTATTGAGAAAAATAAATAAAATGCGGATGACCATTACATTCTTTACCTCAGTTAGAGAGGATGGTATGAGGAAAGTTCTAGCTACATTGGTCAAATAATTTGGTCTGTGTAAGTATGTCCAGAGCTACTTCTTAATGCCAGCTTCCAACTCCTCCCAAATCTCCCTTACTTCCTCCTCACACAGCTTCCCATTTTGCCATACTACCACCTTCAACCCTAACCCACCAAAATAATTGTACTAGATTTTTGTCTCCTGTTCTTTCCCAGCCTTTCATTCTCCTCCCTCCCAATCTTTTGTTTTTGGCTGTCTTTTTTTTTTTCCTGTTTGTCTCTTTCTAATCTGTCATATTTATTTCCCCGGAGTCAATTTGCTAAAATTAAGGTGATCATCTACAGCACAGCAGGGGTAATTTCAGCTCGCATCTCTGAAAATTGCTCTAATTATTGATGTTAAACTCAGGGAAATTAAAAGAAGGCACTTCTCTTCCATCTCCCCATTTTTAAGCTCTAATTTGTTGAAATCTAGTCGTCATCACAATTCCAATCACTACTGCTAATAGTAAAAGTGTTTTAATAGAGACTGAGTCCTCACAACCCATGCTATTAGATAATTAGAGGAGGTGTTAGAAAGCCAAGTGCTAATCCTTGGGCGCACGGGTAGGATTTCCATCTGATCTAGCAGGTAGAACAAATTAATTACCAGAATCAATTAGGCCCCAAACTACAGTGGTCCAGGAAGTGGAAGCATCGTATTCTATACGATGAACCAGTAAATGGTAAACAGATGAGGAGAGTGAGAGGACGAAGGAAGAAAGGGCGGCGGGGGGGGGGGGGAGTAACTTTAAAATAAGATCTTGGCAAGTAGGCATCTAAACGAAGTCAGAACGCTCTGGGAGTCTGAATTGTGATTTCTTTTTTGAAATGACGGTGATTAAAGACTGATAAACCCCAGAGCAGGCAGCCATGGAGAGGGGAAAGGAGTGGACTTTGAGGAGTCGATCCTCCCTCTGTAGCCCGGGTCTATTCATCTTCCGCTAGAGGGAAGATCCTCTAGCCCTCCGGGTAAGGGAAACTGAAACCAAGGGAACTCGTAAAGTGGTGCCGGGGTGACAGTCTACACTATACTGATGCCCACTTCCCTCTCAGTGAGAACTTACCCGGCTGAGTGAAAGCCAAGCCGTCCAGTCCCCTAAGGCCCTAAAGGCTGAGCACCTACTGAGGGCGTGACAGGTGTACAACCAGACTTTGGCCTCAGTAAAGAACCTAGCTATGCCCCGGTGCTCCCTAGGCTCCGTCCCTACACACACCATGGGTACAGATTTGCACCCAGCCTTGGGGTGGGATTTAAACTTCACTCCAGAGCAGAGACTAACTTCTGTCTGGAAACAGAAATCAAGATTATTGAATGTCCCTCTGGGTGCAGGAGTAGAAAAAAAAAGTCTTTGGGTGACTGCTACCTTTGAGCCAAGGCACTGCAAACCCTTAGAATTTAGCCCTACACATGCACCAGGGTGTTCTCGGGGTCCAGAGAAGGGGAGGGAAGGGTAGACCGCCCGCCCCGTCCTTACCCTCCCCCTTACTTCACGTACACTGGACTCCGCTCCCTGCTCGCCCCCAAAGCTGAGGCTAGGTCTTCGGGCCCCGCTCCCTGGAGGAGACGCCTCGCTTTTTCTAGCTCTGCTCGCGCTGAGCTCGCTTTCCGGAGAGCCGAGCGCTGAGCGCCACCGAGGGAGACTTCAACGCATTTTCCTCGGGAACCCGGTTCTGCTGCCTTTGCCTCGGCTCCGGCAGGAACCTAAGACGTAAGAGAGGAAGGGAGGAAGCTGGATAGCTATGGAAAGGAGCAGGACCTCGAGGATTGTAGGACTAGGAAAACTTCCCCTTCCCCTTCCCGTGTTTCTGCAACGAAGAGAAACAAAGCTGGGAGGCGGAGAGGACCAGCCGCCCACACCGAAGCAGGCCCCTGGGGACGCGGAGGCGGGACCAGGGGATCGGAAGTGGAGGCGGAGACAGGGATTCCTCCGTCGCCACCCTTTTTCAAGGAGGGAGAACCCCTTCTCCCAGGATGCTCAAATAATCACAGCTGAGGCTTGCCTTGGGCGCTCTGGGACGTGAGTCCTGCCTGCGAGTAGGCAGGTTGTACAGGCAGGTCTTGTCCTGGAGAAGTGCCTGTTGGGTCCTGGCCGCAGACTCCTCCTGGAATTATTGCCCACCTTCTCGGGGAAATGGAGACGTCAAGAAAGCTGGCAAGTTTCTCTGCAGTGGTGGGGCTACTGAGCAGAACCCCCGGAGAAACGCTAGGGTTACCAGAACCCAATCTCTATCCTCCCCCTCAAGGCCCCGGGCATGGCCCATCCTACTGCGTTGGAGTGAAGGAGGCCCCCAAAGATGTTCAGCCTCCTCTTAAGGTTCAATTCTGGCCTGTCCTACGAGAGGAGGAAGAGGCATTCCAGAGCCTACAGGGTTTCCCAGCCACCTAACCCAGCCCCTTCAGGGCCCAAACCCGGAAAGAGTAAAAGTTATATTTTTTCAGATAACTTGTAAACAACTTGCCCCTTAAAAGCAGAGATGTTTTGGGGTGCCTGGGTGACTCACAGGTGAAGTGTCTGCCTTTGGCTCAGGTCCTGATCCTGGGGTTCTGGGATCCAGTCCTGCTTCCGGTTCCCCTCAGGGAGCCTGCTTAGTCTCTGCCTATGTCTCTGCCTCTGTGTGTGTGTGTGTGTGTGTGTGTGTGAGTGTGTGTGTGTGTCTCATAAATAAATAAATAAAATCTTTGAAAAAGAAAAACCAACAACAACAGATGTTTCATTGTCTGGATTATCTCTAAAGTAGAGACCAGCACTGGCCAACAATGTGAGTCACATAGGTAGTTTTTAATTTTCTAGTAGTCACATTTAAAACATAGGAAGAAACAGGTGTAATATTAATGTATTTCATTTAGCCCCAATATACCAAAAAAATTCAACATCTAATCAATATAAATATATTAATGAGATTTTTTTGTATTATTTTTTAAAGATTTTATTTATTCATGAGAGACACACACACAGAGAGAGAGAGAGAGAGAGAGGCAGAGACACAGGCAGAGGGAGAAGTAGGCTCCGTGCAGGGAGCCCGACGATCCCGGGTCTCCAAGATCACACCCCAAGCTGCAGGCAGCGCTAAACCGCTGTGCCACAGAGGCTGCCCTTTTTGTATTGTTTTTTAATACTAAATATTCAAAATCCAGTGTGTATTATATACTTAGTGTACATCTCAATTTATACTACCCATATTTTAAGTGCTCAATAGTTACACATGGCTACTGGTTACCTATGGGACAGCACATGGCTAGTTAATTGCCATAATCCCTTTTACCCCTTTCCAATGTAGATAGGCATACACAGAAAATGGAAAGCAGTTGCAAAAGCCAGCCTAGCACTTTCTTATGCCTGCCTTTTAATCATGCATTACATTCAATTATTGTAAGCATTCATTGAGCATCTACAATATACCAAGCTCTTCACTACACACCTTCCCAAGCTTTCTCCAAGCTTTAGGAGATTAAATGATGTACTCACATTACATTTATTGTTGATTCTCAGTTGACTAAAATCTGTCACCTAGAAACAGCAGGCTGGAGCTGTATGCTGGGCAGACATGTAAAACAAGATCCCGAACACTGCTCTGAGCAAAAAAATAAAGATCAAATGTATTTCTACCCCCACCCAACCCACAAGACCTGATAGAGCTCCTACTATGGTCTTAACTGGAGAATTATGAATTCCAAGAGGAAAAAGCCATGTTTTTCAGGGAGGTAATAATTAAACAGTCCTTCTCTCTTTCATCAGCCTCATCTAAAACTGTCATCTGAGCTGGGACTTAGTTTCCCAAAGAGACAACTCTATTGACGATCAAAGGAAGAGACTGGTTCCATTAGCCAAGGTGCCTATACAGTGGCCTTCAAAATAAGAGAAAAAATGTATTTTAGAAGGATCTGAGTAACATACTTTACTCATAACATTTTATATTATATTGCTTGTTGTCTGTTTCAAGTCACTTTCTATCTGAGTACTTTATTTTAAGTACTATCAAAGTGGATGACATGTCCAGAGAAAGAACAGGAGTCACTGAATGCTTCCTGCAAATGCATCTTCAAATAATGCTTTTTCCCCCAAAATAATGCTTTTACACCAAAAATTAGGATGTGAACTCACATGAGAACACATCCAAGGATAGGATATCCAAATCACAGTATTCTTAACCTAATGACAATTTAATGCATCCTGTTTGCCATCCAGGATGAAGTCAGTCTATAAGGATCAAAATTTTCTTTTCTCTCTCAAGGTTTTCTATGCTACTTTTGGCA